GAATGGGATAATAAAAAGAGGAACTAGACAAGGATGCTGACTCTCACCACTCCTATTCAACANCAATAATAACTCTAAATGTAAAGGGATTAAATTCCCCATTCAAAAGACACAGACTGACTGAAATGGATTAAAAAAGATGGACCCAACAATATGCTGTCTTCAAGAGACTCACTTGACCTGTAAAGACACACATAGACTAAGAGTGAAAGGATGGAAAAAGATATATCATGCAAATAGAAATGAAAAACGAGCTGGAGTAGCTATTCTTACATAAGATAAAATAGACTTTAAAGCAAAAATCATAAAAAGAGATAAAGAAGGCCACTATATAATGATAAAAGGATCTATCCATTATGGAGACATAATAACAATAAGAAATACATACGCATCCAATGTCAGAGCAGCCAGATTTACACAGAAAACACTAATAGATCTAAAGAAAGAGACAGACACTAACACCATAATAGGAGGGGACCTGAACTCCCCACTTTCATCATTGGACAGACCATCTAGGCAAAAAATCAACAGAGAAACAAAAGATCTAAACAATACTTTTGACCAGTTGGACTTGGTAGATACCTACAGAACATTCCACCCAACAACCTCAGAATATTCATTCTTCTCATCAGCTCATGGAACATTCTCCAGAATAGAACACATTTTATGTCACAAAGCAAGTCTCAACAAATTCAAAAAAATTGGGATTATTCCATGTATTTTTTCCGATAACAATGGATTAAAATTAGAAATCAATAATAAACGAAACTCTGGAAACTATACAAACACATGGATATTAAACAACATTCTACTTAATGAAATAAGCATCCAAGAGGAAATTAAACAGGAAATCAAAAATTTCTTGAAACTAATGAAAATAATGACACATCATACCAAAACCTGTGCGATACTCCAAAAGCAGTATTAAGTGGGAAATTTATTGCATTAAATGATTATGTCAGAAGAATGGAAAGATGGCAAACAACCTGACCCTTCACCTTAAAGATCTAGAAAAACAAGAACAATCCAAACCTAAAGTTAGTAGAAAGAAATAATTAAGATCAGAGCAGAACTAAATGAGACAGAAACCTGAAAAACAATACAAAAGATCAATGAAACAAAAAGTTGGTTTTCTGAAAAGAACATCAACAAACCTTTACCAAGATTAACAAAGAAGAGAGAAGACTCAAATAACAAAAATTAGAAAGGAAAAAGGTGATATTACAACTGACACCTCAGAAATACAAGAAATCATTAGAGACTACTATAAATAACTATATGCCAACAAATTTGAAAATCTCGAGGAAATAGATAAATTTCTGGGTGCATACAAACTACCAAAACTGAGCCAAGAAGATATAGAAAATCTGAATAGACCAATAACAATAAGACATTGAAGCTGTTATCAGAACGCTCCGAACAAAGAAAAGTCCAGGACCAGACTGGTTCACTGCAGAGTTCTACCAAACCTTCAAAGATGAACTGATACCAATTTTCTACACTGTTCCAAAAGATTGAAACAGAGGCCATTCTCCCAAACTCATTCTATGAGGCAAACATCACCCTGATACCAAAACTAGACAAAGATGCATCAAAAATAGAAAACTACAGGCCAATATCTTTGATGAATATAGATGCAAAAATCCTCAATAAAATACTAGCTAACAGAATACAGCAACACATACATAAAATTATACACCATGATGAAGTGGGATTCATCCCAGGGATGCAATCTTGGTTCAACATATGCAAATCAATAAACGTGATACACCACATCAACAAAAGCAAAGACAAAAACCATATGATCATCTCTATAGACACTGAAAAAGCATTTGACAAAATTCAACATTGTTTCATGATAAATACTCTCTACAAGTTAGGCATAGATGGAAAGTATCTCAACATAATTAAAGCCATGTATGATAAACCCACTGCCAGTATCATCCTGAATGGGATAATAAAAAGAGGAACTAGACAAGGATGCTGACTCTCACCACTCCTATTCAACATAGTGCTGGAAGTACTAGCCAGAACAATCAGAGAAGAGAAGGAAATAAAGGGCATACAGATTGGAAAAGATGAAGTCAAACTGTCCCTGTTTGCAGATGACATGATCCTATATATTGAACAGCCTAAAGTCTCTATAAAAAAACTCCTAGAGTTGATAAATGATTTCAGCAAAGTTGAAGGATACAAAATCAACACATAAAAATCAGTAGCATTTCTATACTCCAACAGTGATTATGCAGAAAAAGAAATCAAGAAAGCTAGCCTATTTACAACAGCCACCAAAAAAATAAAATACTTAGGAATAAAGCTGACCAAGGATGTGAGAAATCTCTATGAAGAGAACTACAAACCACTGCTGAGAGAAATTAAAGAGCACACAAGAAGATGGAAAGATATCCCATGCTTTTGGATCAGAAGAATTAACATTGTGAAAATGTCCATATTATACCCAAAGTGATCTACAGATTCAATGCAATCCCCATCAAAATTCCAATGACATTTTTTCTGTGAGATGGAAAAAACTATCCAGACATTTACATGGAACAAAAAAAGACCACACATAGCCAAAACAATCCTGAGCAAAAAAAATAAGGCTGGAGGCATAACACTACCTGACTTTAAACTATATTACAATGCTATAATAACCAAAACAGCATGGCATGGGCATAAAAATAGACACACGGATCAATGGAATAGAATAGAGAACCCAGAAATCAATCCATATACCTACAGCCATTTGATCTTTGACAAAAGCAGCAAATCTACATACTGAGGAAGAGACTGCCTTTTCAGCAAATGGTGCTGGGAAAATTGGATAATCATATGTAGAAAATGAAACTAGCCCCTTACCCTTCACCATATACCAAAATCAACTCAAAATGGATTAAAGAATTAAATATACATTCTGAAACAATAAAACTCCTTAAAGAAAACATACAGGAAACACTCCAGGAAGTAGGAGTGTTACAGACTTCATGCATAGAACTCAAAAAGCACAGCAACTATAGGAAAAATAAACAAATGGGATTATATCAAACTAAAAAACTTCTGCATCAACAGAATAAAAAGACATCCAACAGAGCTGGAGAAAATATTTGCAAAATATACATCTGACAAAGGATTAATATCCAGAAAATATAAGGAACTCAAACAACTTTACAGCAAAAAACAAATAACCCAATTAAAAAATAGGCAAAGGAACTAAATAGGCATTTCTCAAAGGAAGATTTACAAATGGCCAACAGACATACAAAAAAGTGCTCAACGTCACTCAGCATCCAGGAAATGCAAATCAAGACCACTTTGAGATACCATCTCACTCCAGTCAGGATGGCTAATATCCAAAAGACTGAGAATGATAAGTGCTGGAGAGGTTGTGGAGAAAAAGGAACTTTCATATGCTGTTGGTGGGACTGCAAAATGGTGCAGCCATTATGGAAAATGGTATGGTGGTTCCTCAAACAATTACAGATATATCTACCATATGACCCAGCTATTCCACTGTTGGGAATATACCCAGAGGAATGGAAATCCTCATGCTGAAGGGATACCGGTACTCATTGTTTATTGCAGCTCTATTTACAATAGCCAAGAATTGGAACCAACCCAAATGTCCATCATCTGATGACTGGATAAGGAAACTGTGATAAATCTACACAATGGAATACTTCTCTGCTATAAAAAAAGAATGAAATACTACCATTTGCAACAACATGGATGGACGTAGAGAAAATTATATGAAACGAGCCAGGCACAGAAAGAGAAATACCACATTTTCTCAGTTATTTGTGGGAGCTAAAAATAAATAAACACAAACAAATCAAGGGAGGAGGGGTGAAGAAGACAGAATAACCACCAAAATTCCTTGAACTATTTAAGTGAACAGATATGATGGAGGAGAGGGGGATGGAGAGGAACAGATAAAGGGGCATGAAAATCAACTACAATGTATATGGAGAAGTAAAATTTAAAAAATAAAATAAAAATAAATAAATAAATGAAATTAGGTTACAAAAAAAAAGAAAATATTCTGGAGATGGATGGTGGATGGATGGCTGCACAACACTGCAAATGTACTTAATGCCACTGAACCACTTAGAAATGGTTAAAATGGTAAATTTTATGTAATGCATATTTTACTACAATTAAAAAAAAGACAAACAGAGCTGGCCGGTTAGCTCAGTTGGTTAAAGCACAGTATTCTAACACCAAGGTCAAGGGTTTAGATCCTCATACTGGCCAGCCACCCCCACTCCCCAACCTCCCCCCCCCCAAAAGAACCCAATGAAGTGTTGATGAGGATGTGTAAAAACTAAAATCCAAAAACATACACGCAAATGTTTATAGCAGCATTTTCATTATAGCCCAAAGGTAGAACCAACACAAATGTCCATTAACTGATGAATGGAAAAGATGTATACACAACAGAATATTTGGCAATAAAAAGGAATCTAGTCCTGATATATGCTACAACTCAGATGAATCTTGAATACATTACGTGAAATAAAAAGCCAGTAACAAAAATCCAAATATTATATGATTCCATTTATATGAAATGTTCAGAACAGGCAAATTTATAAAGATTGCAAGTAGATTAGGGGTTGCCTAGGATGAGAGTGCAGAAGAACTGTGGCAAGTGGGGAGTGACTGATAATCAGTACAAGGTTTCTTTGTGAGATGACAAAAGAGTTCTAAAATTGATTGTGGTGATGGTTACACAACTCAATATGCTAAAAGCCCCTGAATTGTACATTTTAAGTGGGTAAATTATATGGTACATCAGTTATATTTCAATAAAGCTGTCACTCAAAAAACAAGTATAAAGTAACTAAATGAAATATCTCTCAGAGCACTTACTCGAAAAAACAATGATTAGGGAAGCTGACTTTATTGTAAATTTTGTAATTATGAACATGGTTCATGTATCAACTTGAGATTGTTCTTCTGAACCTCTATATCTTATGCAGAAAAAAATTTCCATCTCTGCTCACCTTGGTCAAAGGAGAAGTCTTCTGTGGTGAATTTTGAGTCACATCCTCACCGAGATTTAATCTCACTGCAGTACTAGTTCTTGGAGTAGGACGAGAACTGAAAAATACACATTTCAGATTTCAGAAACTTTAACCTGTGTTCAGCATTCTTATGAAAAATGATAGAATATAAGGATTCTATACAATCTCATGTAAAAAATGTCTAAAATCTAATTTGCATTATATGACATTATAATTTTTGTAACCGCTTTTAAACTAATTTCCTGGCTAATTTATTATTTCTTTCATTTATAGCTTCCATTCTATGTACAGTATTTTCTTTTTTAACTAGAAACCTTAAAACATTGATTTTACCATTTTTTGAATGTCTGTGGGTATAGGCAGACCAATTAATAAAATAGATATTCTACAAAGGATGGAAAATATTTAAATATTTGAAAAAAATGTTGGATAAGGAACAAGTAAATTATAATCTGCACGTATTTTTAATAATTCCTCCTACACATATAAATACCTGCCATACTCTATGGGTCATTACACTATTCCTGGGTCTCTGGTTCTGAGTTTTTCACATTCCAAGAATCCTTCCCTTTAGATCATTAGAGTCTTTTTTTAATTATTTCCTTCAAATTCCCAAAATCAGGATTCTCACCTGTCTTTCACTTATCTGTTTGTTCATTCATTAAACAAGTACTTAGCACATAAAATTTTCTAAAAAATTTCTAAAAAACTGAATTTAAAATGCATAAGGTCAATATACATAAATTTTATATACTTCACATTTAAATATGAGTAAAACAGATCAGGAAATTTTAGTTGATTATTATAACCTTTATTTCATGAAATAAAACTATCTATGAGGGCCAGCCCATGGCTCACTTGGGAGAGTGTGGTCCTGATAACACCAACGCCACAGGTTTGGGATCCCTATGTAGGCATGGCTAGTCAGCTTACTTGGGATAGCGTGGTTCTGACAACACCAAGTCAAAAGGTTAAGATCCCCTTACCAGTCATCTTTAAAAAAAAAAAAACTATCTATAAGAAAAATGTATTTTAAAATACATTTAATATTTACACATTATTAAATTTTTAAATACATTGGTCCTAATCACTTCAAGATACCATTCTGATTTTAATTCTTTCAATAATTACAAACATTGTTTAAGCCTCACATATAAAAAATATTTAAAGAAAAACAGAACCTGTTCTTTTTTGGAAGTCCTTATCCAAATAAAGAAGGTGGACTTTTGAAATTTTAAATTCAATTCTATTTTAAGTTAAAGTACAAAATGAAGAGGTTTTAACCCTTAAAATTAGGAAAAATAAGTTGGTTTGGTTAAAAATTTTTAAATAGCAAAAATCACGTTTCCACTGGCCAGCACTTAACTGTAACATTGAAAATGGAGAGCAGGGCCGGCCCGGTGGCGCACTGGAGAGTGCGCCGCTTGCGAGCGC